GACAAGTGCAGGAATGACCACCGTATATCACGGCAGGACAAAATGAGAAATCCTGCTGCCGCTTACGGGTTATCGGCCCAATCACGCTGCCGCACACCCGCTACTCAACGGCGATTAGCTGATGCGTGCAGCTGCCGTGCGGCCGACGGGATCGGACCTCAGACGCCCTGCTCATCACCAGCGCGGCATAACCGGCGCGGCGGGGCGCAGGGGCACAGTGGCGCACCTGAGCGCGGTGAGTCACCCGCCACCGGCCGGCGCGCGACGCTGTTTGCGCTGCGGCCGAGCCCCAGCCAGCCGGCGCGCACGACCTGGATGCTGGAGAGGCCGCCATGGTCACACGAGGCGCCGGCGCGGCTCGCCATTGGCGCGTCGGCTCACGTGCCGGCGCGGCGGCCGGCAGTTTTTGCACTTCCTGCGCGGCCCGCGGGGCGGGAGGAGACCTTGACGGAGGGTCAGCGGCGGCGGCGGCCGCCCGCCGGCGCCTCGTATCCATGGGAGCGGTTATTCGCCTGGCGCTTTCTCTTTTATCGGCCGACCTTGCTCCACATGCGGGAAGTGCGGCCGTCGGCTGAGGCCACGGGAGTCGGCCGGGGAGAGACCGCGGAGGAGGGAGAGCGCCGGGGACCCGCCGGCAGCGGGGCAGACACGTGGCCGGCGCGGAGCGGGCGGGGAGAGACCGCGGAGGAGGGAGAGCGCCGGGGACCCGCCGGCAGCAGGGCAGACACGTGGCCGGCGGGAGGCGGGCGGGCGCGCTCTGGGGAGAGGGAACAGCGATGGATGGCGGGAGGGCGACATGAAGCCGCGCATTGATGGGGGAGGCACTGAAAGAACGAGACGGAAAATGACAGATAGTTGATATGCAGAGCTGCGCAGTAACACGTACTGAAGCTCGCTAGAAACCGTTGACTGACGAGCACGCCTGTGGCAAAACCGCTAACGTTTCTCGCGCCGTTTCACTTCCGCCAGCGCATTTACACCGAAACGCGTGGCCTTGGCCGATGACCTTGGCAGCTAGCCTGTATCTGTCCTTCACACAGATTGAGGAAGGCAGCTGTTATGGTACGTGTCGATGGATGCCTGCGCTCATGAATTGCCACTTTAAGCTTATTACCCACTCATTCCTCCTCATGCGCATTATCTCAGCTCTGCTGTGCAGTAAGAGATGGTTTATGAGCAGATCTGTATTTCCGACGCATGAACAGCTGACTGGCAGCCGACATGCCGTCAATAACTTAACCTTTCACCGGCAAAATAAGATATATAATAATTTACAAGAGCATTCTGTTCGCACACTTTGCCGTCTCATGCATTCTTATTCTTCCATTCCTGACGAATCCTCGCAACTGTTCAAATAAATATATAAATATCACCCCGGGAGTGGGGGTGCTGGGGCTTGAGTAAGACTTGCGTGTGTTCCAAGGCTATCCGGTCGTGAGCAGGCCGAACCGCCTGAAAATGCTGGGCGTGCACCGTTGGGGGAAAGGAGGCGACTAAAAGATGCATCTATCACAGGTCTCTTCGTCATCACAGCGTCCTCGGGCGCGTCGTTCAGGCTGGGGCAGAGGCAGGAACAGCTGGGGCAGCCGCGGCGGTGGTGTTGGATCCGACGGGAACAGCTTCTGCGGCGGCGCTGGCTCCGGCTGGCGGGGCAGCTGCGGTGGTCTTGGCTCCGCCTGGGTGGTGTTGGTGTCGGCTGGGGCCGTTAGCTTTGGTGGCATGAGGGGGAGCGCTTTTGTCGCCAGCTGGTGCGGCAGCTGCAGCCGCGTTGACTGCAGTTGGAGTCGCGGTGGATGCTGTCGGAGTGGTCTTGGCTGAAACTGGGGCGATGTCGACCGCAGCCTTGACGACCTTCTGGACAGAGCTGGCTGCAGCCTGGACAATATTGTTGCAGGCTTGGCTGCAGTAGGAGCAGCCGTCTTCGAGACGTTAGCTGTAGCAGAAACGGTAGCAGATGCAGGTTTGGCTGCAATAGGAGCAGCCGTCTTCGAGACATTTGCCGCGACAGGGGCGGCAGACTGAGAGGCACCGGCTACAGCAGGGACAGTAGCCGGCTCGGGCTTGACTGCAGCAGTGGCAGGGATGGCAGCAGAGACAGTGGCGGCAGCGCCTTTAGCCGAAGAAGGGGCCGGGACAGGAGCCGGTTTGGCTGCGACAGGGGCAGAAGTCGAGGCGGCAGCGGCGAGCATGGCGGCCGGTACAAACGGCGGCGCGGAAGGGGACAGAACAGTGGACACCGGGGCGGCGACCCGGGCCGGGGCCGGAGCCGGGGCCGGGGCCGGGGCCGGGGCCGGGGCCGGAGCCGGAGCTGGGGCCTGAGCAGGAGCAGCGGCCGGAGCTGGGGCGGGGCGGCGAGCGGAGCCTTGATGGTGATGGCGGACGGGCGGCTGGGTCGGATGAAGCCTCGGGTGCCGTCCGGGCCGCGGGGCGCGCGGTGCACGTTGTCCTGCGTCATGAGCGAGCCGCGCCGGTCGGCGTCCAGCATGCCAGACGCCTTGCGTCGCTGCACCCAGGGGCACTGGTCCGAGGCGCCCGCCGGCACCACGCCGCAGAATGAGTTTGACTTCTGCTGGCGGGAGGCCAGGCTCTGCGGAGGCAGCACGTTGGGCGACGAGTGCGACTTGCCGCGGTGCACCAGATGGTGCTCCACCCCAGCCGGATGTCGGTGCAGGCGAACATGCCGCCCGGCCGCGACGGCGGCGACAGGCGGTGGGCGCGAAGACCAGGCGGCAGCAGCGGCAGCAGCGGCGGCCGCGAGCGGACTCAGCCGC